GGATATAGACTTGGGAGTCGTGATACAGGAAAAATGTCATGGAGCTGTGCTTCACCTCGGAACTAGGAAAGGCAAGAGACTTGATAGAACTGGAAAGATGAAGTGGCATAGAAGACTGGATGAGAAGACGAGATTAGCTACCAGCGAGTGCGTACAAAAGCAGGTTCTATGGGCATTTATTGGGAGATATTGGATATCACTGCTAGGAGAAGCTTCTCTCATGTGTGGGGCCTCTGACCAATATTTCTGTGGGTCAGTGGCCCCTGACTGAAAAAAGTTTCTTTGCCCCTGAATTAAATTCATTATTTTGTTTTGTTTTCTAATGGAAATATGCTGTTTGCACACTGGTGATTTTGCATCAGTACATTTTTGAGGAAAGGTCCAGTACAGATTCCAGAAAAAGTACACTCTGAGGTATGTTAAATCATATTGGAGATTAATAAATTCTCTCATACTACAATTTGCTGAAGGAGTAGAAGAATGTTTTTATGAACAGAATTGGAAAGGACGTGCTCTTTGGTGTTATGAAGCTTGTTGATCATTAGGTGGTGTGAGGTTATATAAGTGTACTGACCCTGAAAGTTATCTCAAATTATATTAATCTTATCATATAATGCCTAACATGTGTAACAGGCTTTTCACTTTTTGTAAAGACTGTATAATGCATCAGTGGTATAGCTCACTGACACTAGATCATGTATATTGAAAATCAAATTTCATAAACCAGCAGCAATTTTATTTTCATCTTTGCATGTATTTTTTTTTTTTTACACAAATTTCAAGTGGCAAAGTGACAGCTGGAGAGGTTCTATAAATCGGCTGAAGCAACAGCATGTGCTGAAGTCCATTGAGAAACTGGGCGTATCCCTCAACATCATTTCCAGACTTCCTAAGGGGTACCTGCTGACAAGAAAATATCACTGAGATAACCAAATGAGAGATTTTTCCATTCTTTTTATACAAGAACACACCAACCGGGAATCAGATTCGGTGTTCCATTCCAATTTAACAACCAAATCTCTTTGAAAAACACACTAATCAAAATATGCTACTCCTTCTGCAGGCCAATCAGAAAGGTAATAACATGTCTTACAAAAAAGCAAGTTGGTCTCTGCTCAAAAATAAAAGCACAGACTGCTAGCATTGCAGTAGTGTCCATCACCATGCAGAGTAAGTGTTAGTGATAACATGGTTTGAGCCACATTCACTCATGAGATTAGCTGGCATATGCCTACTATGCCAGAAGTTAACCGGGCCCCTTGTCTCTAGTGGGACTA